TAAATGCACCAATAAAGGCAATGAATTTTTTTTTTTTTTTAAATATTGGAAACCCATTCATTTTCTTTATTGTTTAGATGCTATATTTGATTCTAGAATTAAATTAGCAGGTTTAGAAAATGGTTTTGACAATTTATGTGAAAATTTACAAACCGAAGTATATGCCAATCAAATAGGAAAGGTAAAAAATACACTTTTCAAAGTATATTTCCAGTATGAAAACAGGTATGAGAACCCGCAAAGAGGCGAAACATCCAGGGAAGCTGCATTAGAAGAAACAAATGAAGACTTCTACTCTTGGGGTGCACTAAATAGGCCAGGACACGAATCCGAAACACAACTTCCTCTTCAAAAGCTCCACCACCAACAACAACTAATGTACTGTTTTCCATGCAGTCGCAGAATAATGAGCTTCAACAATATTTGGCAACCCTTGAAATGTTACCAGTAGATCCACAACAGAGAGCCAACATTGATCTCTTAGACTATTGGAGAGCCAGAAAATGTATTTTTCCGGTATTATCAAGACTTGCCTTGGATGTTTTCGCTGTTCCTGTCTCAACCGTCTCATCCGAACAAACATTTAGTGTAAGTGGAAGAATTTTAAATGAAAGGAGGACTAAACTTTCCCCACAAAAGATTGAAGTCCTCACATATCTTCGAGATTGGGAACGGTCGTGCCATCAAGGTTAATACGAGGTTGTCAACGATATTTTAATAGAATCATTTCAATTTTGTAATATAGATGATATAGATGACGGAGGTCCTAGTGAACCCCAAAATTAGTTGTTTTGTAAATTGTAACTTATAAATTAATTGTCAATTATTGCACTCTTTTTTCCTTACCAAGTTTTTGTTCTATTGGGTTTTTCTTTGTGAAGTTTTTAACGAGGCAATAATTATTATAATTTCTTATTTTATTTTTTAATAAATGAATAAATTTAATTATTCTTATATTATATTTTTATGTATTAAAATTGAATTAATATTTGGAATGTTAACCAAAAAAAATTAATTTAATTTAATTATTGATATTTGAAAAGAAATTAACAATTAACTAAAAACAATTACATTTATTCATTTATAAATTGTTAATTATTCATTTGAAAAGTTAATTAAACATTTAAACTTAAACAAAATAAAACAAAAAAAAAAAATTAAAAAAAAAATAATCAAAAAGCGGGTTAACCCGGCGGGTTAGGGGTGGCGGTCCGGGTTGGGCCAGCCAATGTTACTGGGTGAGTCAGGACCGACTCGCCATTAACAGCAACCCGTAGCAGGCCGGGTGGGTTGCTTTTCCACCTCTATATATGTCCTTAGAATGGTAGAATTATCAAGTGTTTCAAATCTTGATAGTGAGAACCCTATGATCACATATGATGGTCATTCTAGAAATTTCTATAGCCCTAGTATTATTTTGAGCAAGGACACAGATAATACGGTAAGACTTTCATAGTGTTGAATGACCCTGTCGAAAGACAGTGACTGATCTCACTTGTCAAGGTTATTTGTCGATAACCTGGTGCAACATATGAGTGCTTGTTGTAGGCAAGTTCAAAGAGGATTCTATATAGATAGTAACCTCAATGTCTATAAAACAAATCCTTTAACGAATAGTGGTGCATACGATCTTTAGACTTGAGATCATCAGAGCGCCTTGTGCACCAATTGGTGTTGTTTGACACTAGCCTAACGTAATTCTATTTAGAGCTATCAATACTGTAGTGATTGACTACATTGAGGAGTGTATTAAGACTATAGTGGATCGATAGAGGATTCATCACTTCTGGGTACGAGAGAAATTATCTTACTGTGCAATTCGGTAAATGACAATGACACTAAATCTGTGGCCACAGTGAGATTGAGTTGTTGCCCAATCCAGTTTATTATTCCGGTCATTGGTCCAATAACTAAATACAAATACATCGAGAATAATTGAGGTTGACACTATTTATGTACCTTGGTCTCGATGAGATAACATATGATGAAAGGATTTGATTTTGCAGTAATCATATCGTTGATAGGTAGCTATTTTGCTGAATCTGAATCTATCGGGTGGCCATGATGCCTTGATAGGGGCCAATCTTGGTTTGTGTGTAGTGAGACGATTAATTGGTGTTGATCGCGATACTACTTACTACCGATATGATGAGGAGCCTACGAGTTACACACTTAAAAGATAATTTAAAAATCAATTTGTATAAGGGATATTTTCGTCTTTTAGAACGAGATGGTATTTTAGTAATCTCACAATGCAATTAAATTTGCTGAGGTTGTTACCTGAATTTAATTTAATATTAAAATCAAATTAGTAGATTATATTTAAATATATGTGCGCATATATTTAAATGAATTATAATTGTTAATTAAATGTTACTATATTTCATAAATATATTAATTAACTTTAATTATAATAATAATTAATTTAAAATAAAATACCACAAGAGGGGTGTTTGGATACAAGAGTTGGAGCCTAGACATATTCCTTATTAGAATAGGGTTTTGATACTGCACTATATAGGTGTATGTGTATGTTAACTTATCTCATTTTCATTCATAGAAAAGAAAAAGGGCAGCCCCTTTTCTCTAACTCTCTCACGTTTCCCCTTGGGTTTTTGAATCAAAATTTTCTTTGATTTCAAGTTGATTCTTGAAGCCAAAGAGGATCTAGTAAATCCCTCTTTGGTTCTTCGGATTGTCTTCGTGTAGATCACCGTTCATTCAGTTCTAGGTTGAATCGGTAGCGAAGCAAATTCAGAGACATTTGAAAGAGCCTCTAAACGTGCATAAGATCTCTGGTCCTTGTTTGGATTAATGTTATCTTTGTTCTTTTCAATTTAAGCATGTAAAATATATACATATTTGACCCTGATCTTGGGTTATTCAGAGTAATCAATGGGAAATATTTTTGTTTTCCGCCGCGTTTACCCATCGATTTACTTACAAAAATATCTCGATCCTATATGTATTCGATAGTTATATTTATATTTGAAAGAAGTAATTTCTAAAACCAATTGTGGGTAGCCTATATGGTTAGGGCAAATTGAAGATAGGAATAACACTAGCTTTACAAAGAGGCATACAAAGAGACAATCTCTGCCCTTAAAAGAAGGAAAAAAGAGAGAGAGAGAGAGAGAAAGGCAATCATAAATTTAAAGGGTAGGGATTGTCTCTTTGTATGCCTCTTTGTAAGACTAGTGTTACTCTTGAAGATAGTATAGATAGATACAAAGTCTCCGGTTCGATTTCTTATTATAATCATTTTGCCATTTAAGTGGTCATGTAAGTTGGCCTAGATACCTTAACTACCAAAAAAAAAAAAAAAAAAAAAAAAAAATTCTATAAATAAATCAACTAGAAAGAAACTCAATTGGCATTATTGGGGAATGAGGTGTCAAGACAGGGATTGTGAGATTTAGATTTCTCATTTAAAACCGCTATTATTTTAACTAAGTTTTTAGTTTAACCATATTAAGTGATTATACAGAAAACACCTTGGTTTAATTTTTATATATTGTTTAGCCCTCCACGTTTTCAAAAATTATGACTATAGTTCTCATTCTCTTAAAAGCCATTAATAGAAATCCATTAACAAATAGAATGGAATTCCAAAAATTATCACTTCCCTTCAAATCCTTAGACCTATCAACTTCACATTTGTGACATTGTTGCCACCAGTCCATTGGCCTTGTGGCTTCTGGCTGTGTCTTGTGGCATCGCTAGAGGCCTTGAAGGCCTCTGCGACTTTGGTCAAGGCTGGATTCGACCTCGCTTCGTTTGTTGAAGTTACACGAGACCAGAGTAAGTGGATGTTGAGTGGTGGAGGTAAGAGGAAAAAAAAAAAAAAAATTTAAGATTTTTATAAAAAGATGAAAAGTAAAAAATGCCCATTTAAAAAACTAAATATATTTATCAATCAAGTTTAAGGAAAATGCTATACCGATAATCTCTTCTCATAAACTCTCTTACAACTCCGACGTGACAGCTTGTCATTTGTTAGCTAGCAAATAGGTAGACAGGACTCATACAAGTAGGCGATATCCATTTTGTGAGCTGATCAATGACGAGCTACCATATTAGAATTGTGAGAGAAAGTTTATAAAGAGAGGTTATGAGTGTAGTAATACCTCTAAGTTTAATGGACGAAATAAGGGCTATAATTACCTTTTTAAAACGCACAAGGTATTCGATAAATAACACTATATAATATAAAGTGTTGTAAGTGGTGGATTTCCACAATTTGGCAAATAGCCGATGCAAGTCCACTTGAAGAGACATAAATTATAATTCGTTATTGGATAATTAATCTTTTATGAGAAGTTGATTGACGAGGAAAGACTATAAATTGAATTTATTTCCTTCATTTTATACACAACTAAATTGAGAAAAAGAGTTCATAAAAGCTGCTCGTCTCTCTTTTATTTTTCAATCCCTTAGAAACAATTAATTTTATTTATGTTCTAAAAGTTGTTGGCATTGTCTTCTTCCTAGCTAAAGGCTGTGGTCGTTTATATCCATATCTTGCAGATAAGAAACGAGAGATTGCTATTGATTCCTGGCCCAGCGGCAATTTTATGAGTATTAATGCATTATACAAGTTGGTCATTCAATTCTTCAGTTGGTTGACTTTATGATTAGTAGAAAACTGGACAACAAAATCCTTGAACAAATAATAAAAATAAATCAATTTAAGCTACTGCTTTTATGTATATAAAACCACTATTGGGTGATCCAGCGATCAATTAAGATTCTTGGATGTATTACTCAAGAAATCATGAATTTGACTACTTGATTGCTAATATGGGTTTCTATTAAAAAGATTTATCCAGCTGTCAACTTCAAGACCTCAGGGGGATTAGCTACAACTTTAGGGTCTCGGGAGATTAGTGGACGAAAGCTGACCCGGACCCGTAAAAAAAAAAAAAAAATCCCTGGTCAAGAAAAAAGCTTTTATGTATATACATATTGCATTGTGATATCTATACTTGTATTAAAATTAATCCTAGCGTTCCTAATTTTGTCTCATCTTTCTAACATCTTCCTCTCCATTATGTTTCTCCGTTTGTTGTTCACACTTGATTCTATGCAACAATAGCAAGTTAATAATAAATAAAGTCCTCCACAGTTCATGTATTAATAATTAATTTGCTGAAGCTGGAAGATGAACATAGAAAAGTTAATCATCCTCGCGATAATTCTTGCAATATTGACACTGGGTGAATCCAAACCAGAAATTGTTCTCATAAACAAGGGGTTTAGTCAGTATAATGTCACAAATTTATCGGACTTCGACGATAATTTGAACGCAACTTTTGCACTACTGAGAGACGAGCTTTACGCAGGCAAGTATTTTGCAAAGGCGGAGCAGCCAAGAGGGTCCGACTCAGCCTACGCTATGGTGCAGTGCAGGAAGTACCTATCCTCGGCTGATTGTATTGCTTGCTTCACAGCCGCTGAGTCCTTAATACGCAAATTCCCTCCGGCCAACGGTGCCCGTCTTATGTATTTGGGGTGCTTTCTCAGGTATGTATGATAGATTTTCACTTGAGATTCTATGACTTTTATTATAATACATATTTCACAATCTGATTACAAGCCATGCATCGTCTCCGCACGAGATACTTAAGAAAAGAAGAGAATATAAAATTTGTCTGAATGGATCATAGTTTTAAAATTTCCGGCCCTTTATTCTCGTGAATGTTAAATGTTGTTTAAGGTATGAAAGCAGCAAATTTTTTGATCAAAGCACTCAAGAAGGTCGTATTGCATCTTGTGTGAATCAAACAGCATCAGACGCTACTGCTTTTGAAACAGCTCTGAGTGGGCTATTAGCTGATCTTCAAGTTGCCACACCAAAGATCAATGGGTTCTTCGCTGCGAGTAAGAGGGCAATCGGCGAATCATCATCATCAGAAGTTTATGCCATCGCTCAATGTGTTGAAAGCATTAGTGAAAGTGGGTGCAAAGAATGCTTGCAAGTGGCGAATGGCAACGTTAAAACTACAAGATGTCTTACTTCTACGGCTGGTTGGGCTCTTGATGTGGGGTGTTTCCTCAGGTATTCCAGTACTCCATTCTTTTCTGATAACCAGACTACTGATATTACGCCCTTCTTGAAAACTGGTAAGCCTCCTAATTCTTTATTTACTACATTTTTACTTGAAATGTACGTGAATGTTATATTATTGGTTTTCGTTAACAACAAATGATTTTATGTTTTGGAGAAGTACGATATCCTCTAATAAGAAAATTTTATATACATATATATATTCATGTAGCAGGTTCAAGCAAGAAAAAAGCAATTATTGGAGGAACAGTTGCTGGAGGAATCAGTCTACTACTTATGGCATTATTTGTGTGGTTCTTTTTATCAAAAAGAAAAAGGAAGATAACCCGAAAAGGTAAACCAAAATTATGTATAGTAACCAACCCTTGGATGACCGAGTGGTTCGATATGGACTCTTGGATATATTATTTAAGATGTTCTGAGTTCGAGTCTTTTATTGATTGCTAATAGGAGCTGCCACTGAAACTCTTACTTAACCGATAATTCCAAGGTCTCGGGGGAAGTTGAGGGCCTAAACACCCTCGGTCATTAAAAAAAAAAAAAAACTCCCGACCGATAATTTCAGTATTCCAAGGAATGTTAAGGTGCACGTGAGCTTAATCGAACACCCCTGCTCATCAAAAAAATTAAAGTATCGTCAATTTTCATCAGCATCAAGAGACAAGTTTAATAATTTCATCCCATCTAGTTTATTTTGAGCATTTCAGAAAGGCATTTTTTATTTTTTTTATTTTTATGAATTGGAAAACAAATGGATAACAGGAAACAAAAATGGTAAGAAGAAAACTTCGATATTTTTCACAATCGGTAGGCTTTAATAGCCGATATACAAGCCTTACATCTTAAAGTTTTGGATCAAGAATAATAGTTGTAATTATCTGGATACAAAATACAAAACAAATGATCATAAAAATCCTAGTCTACCTTATACAGCTACTAAAGATACAATATGAGATAAACTAGGAGTCCCTGATTTCTGAACATAAGAAAATATATAAGAAGTTGATTAATTTATATATCCCTGCTTTCTTTTTGTGACAGGAAATATCCTAGAAGCGACTGAATTGCAAGGTCCCATCAATTACAGATATAAAGATTTGGTTTCTGCGACAAGAAAATTTAGTGAAGAAAATAAACTTGGAGAGGGAGGTTTTGGCGAAATTTACAAGGTGAAATGAATCGAATTGTAATTACTTCTGGGTAGTCAAGTGGTTTGATAAAGGACATTTAGGTATATTACTCAAGAGATCCTGAATTCGAGTCTCTTCTTAGTTATCTACTGATCCTCTTACTTGGAAGAGGTAACCATTGGAGCTCTTACATAGTCGATGGTTTTATGGTCTTTTTAGATTAGTTGAGATACGCATAATCTAGTTTGGACACCCCGGTCGTCAAAATGCATTTAGGATTTTAGTCTTACAATGAGATTTTTCCTACACTATTGAGTTAAATCTGCTTGCACATCATAAGGATGCAAAACTTTATCTGGATGGTAATGTCTGTTCTACGAAGTTTTCTGAAATTTTGATGTGATTACACTGCAGGGTACTCTGAATAATGGAAAAGTAGTTGCAGTAAAGAAACTAGCAATAGGGTTGTCTCGCAGGATACTATCTGATTTTGAAAATGAAGTTAAGCTTATAAGCAATGTTCATCACCGGAATCTCGTCCGCCTTCTTGGTTGTTGCAGCTACGGCCCAGAACTTCTTCTTGTTTATGAGTTCATGGCCAACAGCAGCCTTGATAAATTCTTATATGGTAAGCTCTCTGAATTATTCAAGCTGTCTTTCAATTCTTCTCTTGATTCATAGAGATATAAATTTTGAATGTTAAATAATATATTACATATATGATGCTACAATTAATTACCTATTCACATTAACAGGAGAAAGACGAGGGTCTCTGAATTGGAAACAACGGTATGACATAATCCTGAACACAGCAAGAGGGCTTGCCTATTTGCATGAGGATTTCCATGTTTGCATAATTCATCGAGATATTAAACCCAGCAATATTCTTCTGGATGATGATTTCCAGCCAAAGATCGCTGACTTTGGATTGGCTAGGCTTTTACCTGACAATCAAAGCCATCTAAGCACCAAATTTGCAGGGACATTGTAAGTTCAATTTTTATTTTATTTTATTTAATTTTATCCAAAATTAGTTTGGAAATTTTATTTGATTAATTGATAGTTTTAAATGAACTACTCAGGGGATACACAGCACCGGAGTATGCAATTCATGGACAGTTATCAGAAAAGGCTGATACTTACAGCTATGGTGTTGTTGTCCTTGAAATCATCAGTGGCAAGAAGAGTAATGATCTCAAAGATACTGACGATTACCTACTCAAACGGGTAATTAATTTTATGGTTGAATGATATAACGACGCTTATCTGTTGTGAAATAGTAAATAGCTTTTTCTCAACTAAATAATGGTTTAATGGTACTTTTCTATCTACAGACTTTTAAAATACCATTTTATTATCCAAATTTATATTTTGTTTCCGATTCTGACATCGTTGCAACTCCACACTACCACCATTATCTTCCGCGATCATCATTCACTAAAAACCCTCAAACCCTACTCTTGTTGACCCCTCTAATAGCCGACAATCGAAAGATTAGGATTTGTGCAGCCGCCTCTCCCAAGTCAAATTCCGATCAATCCTAACCACCAAAATCCACCTTCCACTATCAAAAGACTCATCAGCCTCCCCTTTTCAAAAGTCTCAATAGTTTAGACCAAGTTTACTTCTGTTTATCGTCGGAATATAAATTTAGATAGTCAAGTGGTATTTTAAAAGTATGTGGGTAGAAAATTGTCATTAAATCATTATTTGGGTGGGAAAAAGTTGTTAACTCATTGTGAAATTATAACTTTGCCCCCTTGGTTTGGGAAACACTTGTTACCTTTAGTTTTTGGATTCATGGGTTAAATTTAACTACATTAGTTTTTGGATTCATGGGTTAAATTTAACTAAATTAGTTTTTGGATTTAAATTTAACTACAAAAGGGCAATTTTTATGGAGACAAAAAACCTAATCTAACATTATAAATTGACAAGAGTACCCTTTCATGATTAAGTTTTAAGTTTTAATATGAATTAAAAATATGGGGGTAATATTGGGTGTTTTTGTCCTTTAGCGATAGATTAGGGGTAAAAATGTCATTCACCTGTTCTTCTTTCTTACTCCATTATTAAAACTACAATTTGCTTATCAAGCTTCAATGTATAGGCATGGAAACTATACGAGGAGGAGTTACACGTGGAGTTGATGGATGAAAGTTTAGACCGAAATGAATACACTGAAGAAGAAGCTAAAAAAGTAGTGGAAATTGCTTTAATGTGCACTCAGGCATCTACTGCTTCAAGGCCAACAATGTCAGAAGTGGTTGTTTTGCTTAAAAGCAAGGGTTCCTCAGAGAACAATAAACCAGTAATAACGAGACCTACTTTTATTGACCCCGAAATAAGGGTTCGTGGAGACACCTCAACATCCACTTCTTCTTCCATATCTAACGCTATAGCCTCCATCACAGATGTCTCTGGTCGTTAATTACTTCATTCTAAGCATCAGATCTCCACATTATTTTCCTCCTTTCTGAAAGCCTTGAGAAGTGTTAGTCAATAGTGTGTATTCATATTCTAAACTGTTAGAACCCCACGATTTAATATATTTTACAATTAAATTTTGAACGATAATTGTAACTGCAGTTCTATTATAGTGATAGGAACTATTCTTATTGAAATAAAATACTGCTGAATTTGGTAGTGAGGGTGATACTTGCTCTGTTCTACTTCTATCTATCCTCATTCTTGACAAAAACCAAATGGATCCACTTCTTGAGCAAATATAATCAGAATGGCTTGATTGGGTCCACCACCAGGCCTAGACCCTAGTTGAATGTTCTTAATTAGAACTGGAGTTCAGTCTATAGGAACTTTCGTGTCTTGTCTGTTCATCAGGCAAACAGCAAACAGTAAACAACGGTGCAAGTGCAACTCCACTGCTGCTATTGAGTTACTGAGCTTATGAAACTCTGATCTTGCCATTTGCAATTGAAACTTGAAAGCCATGGCCAGCTTCATTAGTATATCATCTCCTCCATTCTTGTCTCCCACCTCTCCTTTAGAGTTCAACTCTACTCTCTTCTTCTCTTTCATCACATACATATATGATATAACATGATTTATACAAATTAAAAAACTTCATTCTTTTCAGTTTGTCCAATTAAACAATGAGAACTAATACAAGAAGCTCTAAGCTGTATTCAGAGCTGAATAAGTTCAGGGCCAAAGGCACTCACATTAACAAGCAACAATAAAAAGAAAAAACATGTGTATATAAAAATCAAGAAATAACAAGCTACAGTTGGTTTGCCTCAGGTTTTTTCTCATATCCAATGCCTAGTTCTGAAAGATCAATTTTCCCTTGATATATATCAAATAGTTTTGGAACCTGTTCTTGATACTTGGACAAAAAATTGTCTAAGAAGTACTTTTCAGAGCTCTTCAGCACATAAGAAATACTGAAATTTTTCTTAATCAAGTCGTTCAACAACAAAACCCTTAAAACTCTGCATCTCGGGATGATTATCTTCTCCAAACTACAAGCTAAAGCCCCAGGGGTTGTAGCAACCATTGAAGGTTGCCAACCCATCTTGTTCACATAAAAGTCCATTTTGGTATTTATATTCTCCACAGACAGACTCATACATTTGGGATACTTTCTATAAGCTAACCAGAAGTCATTTTCAGACCAACCCCAACTCCTATAAACCTTCAGTTTTCGTTCCCAGAAATTGTCGGTCATGGTCGCAACTGCTATGAGTGCTTGGATAAATGCAATGGTTGAAGGATTGAATCCCATCTTGATAACCTTCTTGACACGTTCATCAAACTTCTCAGAACTTGCACACAATACACAAGGATTTGAGGTGATCAAAGTTGAAATACCTGATTGTGTCACTCCAATTCCTTTCAAGGTAGAAATATTGGGAACAACTTTCTTTTGCACATCATGCATATAAATTGCCCGCTTCAAAACATTGACAATTTTTTTATGGTTGGAAACCAAACTCTTCAGGAAGTTATAGTTAGGGATAATTGTTTTCTCTAAGCTCTGCCGCAAAATAGCAGGGTTTGAGGACAATACATTCGCAAGGTCAGTATCAGAAATCCCCACGGAATGGAAAAACTCAAGCTTGGGTAAAAGAGTTTCCTCAACAGTGCCTACAAGCACTGTCGGTAATTTTTTAACAAGTTTGGATATGTGGGCATTGGTAAACCCATTTTTTCTGAGAAGGCCAAGCACAGAATCTGGTTTTTCTGGGGTTTCAAAAGCTACTTTCTTTGATAAAGAAGCAGCAATTTCTGGGGAAAAGCCACATGAGTTTATGAAATAAGACACTGTAAATGAATGTTGTTCTGGTTGTTTTCTTCTATCATGTGCCACAACTTCAACCGATGAGAAAGATTTAGAAAAAAGTGATGTATTCTGCAAAAGAAAACTCAAATGGATCGTCGAGTATGCCGCATTTCTCCAATTTGGGACTAGTTGAAATTGCAGTCTTTTGCAGCACAAACAAAACATGGCAAAATCAAATACAAATGAAGAAAAAAAAAAGAAGAGCAAGAAAGTACTCAGGAATTATTTCAAAATTTCAGCTTGAACTGGGTATTTGATTGCGAATCTTTATACAAATGCCCTCTTCACAAACAGCCAGCCTATTGACAGTGAGAAATTTGACTGAGAAAGCTTCACCTTCTATTGTGACTGTTGCAGTTCTCACTAAGGTAAAACCCTGCCTCTTTTACTCCTTGTCTGGCTAAATAGAGCGTATAAGTTATTTCAGGTTCTTTCCTTTGGTTCCAGTTAGTTCTGAAGTGCTCCTTTACTCGTTATCTTTGCTTCCCAGTCGGTAAAAGAATTTCCTCTTAAAGAATGATTCGCTGGATCCTGTGTATTCCTTCTTTCGGATAGGAAGACGAAGAACTGACTGCCTTTGTTCGAATGAGACTAACTGCTTTTAGGGTTTTCACTTTTCAAATTGAGTGAATAACAATTTCCCAACCAAGGTTTTCCGTAATTACTTTCTACCCACAAACTTTTTGAAAAGCCAATTTCCCACCCATTGTCAATCTCTGTCAATATATTAGTTTACCTTACCGGAGGTAAAGTACGAAAAGACTATAATACCCTTTAAAATTTGACTTCATAATTTTTAGCAGGATAGAATAATATTTTTCTATCCAAAATTTATTACATGTATTTTTCACTCCTTGCTTGGTTTATATTAATTTTATGGTTTAATAAATTTCAAAATAAAATCACTTATTAAAAATTTGAAAAAAAAAAAAAAGAAATCGCGCCCAGTCTGGTCAATGATATGGTTTATATCATTATTTTTTTCCTCTTATTTTGGTTCATAAATAGTGTTCCATTTCTTTTGTTGGATTTTGGGTTTAAAGAGATACAACAGAAGGTAGTGGGTATACAGCACTGTTGCCACCAATCTATTGGCCTTGAGGCTTCTGGCTGTCTTGTGGCATCGCTATCGTCCTTGAAGGCCTCTGCGACTTTGCTCAAGGTTGGATTCGACCTTGCTCCGTTTGTTGAAGTTACACGATACCAGATTACGTGGATGTTGAGTGGTGGAGGTAAGGGGAAAAGAAAAAGAAAAAGAAAATATTAATATTTTTATAAAAAGATGAAAAGTAAAAAAAATGCCCGTTTAAAAAACTAAATATATTTATCAGTCAAGTTTAATGGATGAAATAAGAAGCTATAATTGCATTTTTAAAACTAAAGGGAGTCACTCAATATACGAAACACACAAAGTATTCAATAAATAACACTATGTAATACTAAGTGTTGTAAGCAGTGATTAGGAACCTGGAGCCTTCATCGGCTTAGGTTATAAATTTTTATATTCATTTAAAACCTTAGAAATTAGGATATCAATTAGTGAATAATTGAAGGTTGGAATGTTAGCGCTTTTGAAGAGGAATGGTCGGTGAGTGGAATGGTGGTAATAGTGTCCGTTTCCGATGAATGAATCGACCAGAAATTGCAAAACAATGTCATCAAAAAAAGCTCGATGTTGCCGGCGATTGAGGAGGCGAATGGGGGAGGGGTGAGATGAGTTTTGGTTAGGAGGTTGAGGGGAGTGTTTTCGTAGCAATAGGGAGTGTTGTTGTTTTGAAAACAAGCTCTATTTGTCGATGCTGACAATGGTGTTTGGTGTGTTTTTGTAAGATTTTAAACCTATAAAGACTTACAAAATTTTCAGAGATATTTTTGTTAGATTTCAAATATTTGGACATTGATTTAACCTGCTGGTCAAACCGATTAAACCACTTGATCCGAGACCCAGTGGCTTGGCCAAGTCACTGCACAGGTCGGGTTTTTAATCATTGGTTGTAAGTGGTGGACTTCCACCAATTTGGCACATGGGCCATGCAAGTAGAGGTGGACAAAAAGCCTGGGCCCAAAGGGCTCGATCCCAAGACCAGTCCTTGGGAGGACCAGTCCTTGTGGGACCAATCTCGGCCCTTGGGGAGGGGTGACTAGGCCCAAGCTAGTCCCTCCTCCTGGGGCCGGGCTTGGGACTGATCCCATGCCTAGGCTCGATTAATTTCATAGGACCCCCTAACAAAAAACCAAAACCCCTTGACAAAAAACCAAAACCCTCCCATAATAACCAAAACCCCCCTGATATTTATCAGGCCTTACCGGTGGGCCCTCACAAAAGTGACTGGCTCAGTACCGATCTCAGCCAATTGGGACCGATCCTAAATTGGAATTAGTCCTTCAGGACTTGGGGCTTATTTGCTCACCTCTACATGCAAGTTTATTTGCAGACGTATGACCCATGCAAGTCCACATGAAGACACATGGATTATGATTTTGTTATGGATAGAGGAGGTTGGTTGGTGAGAAAAGACTATAAATTAGGCTGATTTCCTTCGTATTATAGACAATCCAATTAAGAGAAACAGTTAATAAAAACCTCTTATTTCAGCCATCTTTATTCTGCTCTTTTATTTCTTATTTGCTTTAGTTTATTTTATTGCAATTAACCCACTAAGATTATAACAATAAGTTAATATAGATATAATAAATAATATTATATTTATAACATTTTATAAATAAATTTGTGGTTGAATATAAAAGTCGTCGCGCATCGTCTGCTGCCTCAAGTCCTTCACAGTTCATGTGTCAATAGTTAATTTGCTGAAGCTGGAAGATGAACTTAGAAAAGTTAATCATCCTCGCGATAATTCTTGCAATATTGACACTGGGTGAATCAAACCCAGAAATTGTTGTCATAAACCAGGGATTCAGTCAGTATAACGTCACGAATTTATCGGACTTCAGCAATAATTTGAACGCAACTTTTGCACAACCGAGAGACGAGCTAAACGCAGGCAAGTATTTTGCAAAGGCGGAGCAGCCAAGAGGGTCTGACTCAGCCTACGCGATGGTGCAGTGCGAGGAAGCACCTATCCTCGGCTGATTTGCTTGCTTCACAGCCGCTGAGTCGTTAATACGCAACTTCCCTCCGGCCAACGGTGCCCGTGTTGTGTATTTGGGATGCTTTCTCAGGTATGTATGTTAGATTTTTACTTGAGATTCTCTGAATTTGCCTTCAGATAGTTTTTATACTTTTATTGTGATATTGTTTCTTTGGAAATGCATATTTCACAATCTGATGACAAGCCATCGTTTCCGCATGAGACACTTAAGAAAAGAAGAGAGTATAAAATTTTTCTGAGTGGATCATAGCTTTAGCTTCAGTTTCTGTACATTAGCTGCTTAGCACCTTCAATTTTTGAATTTCACACTTTGGCCTCCACAAGTGTAACTTCATTTAAATAATTTATTAAGGTAAATATGCTTTTTTTTCTTTTTAAAATTTTCTTGCATGAGCATTTTGTTAATTTCACTACTTTAAAGATGGTAAAGTTCTTAACGATGTTTTGGTAATCAAATATAATAAAAGGTAAAGTGATTAGTTTGATGGGCAAGGTCATCTTCTTGACCCCAAAATTTTAAAAAAATTCCGGCCCTTATTCTCGTGAATTGTTAAATGTTGTTTAAGGTATGAAAGCAGCAATTTTTTTTTATCAAATAGCATCAGACGCTACTGCTTTTCTAACAACTCTGAGTGGGCTATTAGCTGATCTTCAAGTTGCCACACCAAAGATCAATGGGTTCTTCGCTGGGAGTAAGAGGGCAATTAATGGCGAATCATCATCAAATAAGTTTATGCCATTGCTCAATGTGTTGAAAGCATTAGTGAAAGTGGGTGCAAAGAATGCTTGCAATTGGCGAATGGCAATGTTAAAACTAAAAGATGTCTTACTTCTACGGTTGGTTGGGCTGTTGATATGGGATGTTTCCTTAGGTATTCCGATACTCCATTCTTTGCTGATAACCAGACTACTGATATTATGCCCTTCTTGAAACCTGGTAAGCCTCCTAATTCTTTAATTATTTACTACATTTTTACTTGAAATGTACGTGAACATACATATATATACTCAAGTAGGAGGTTCAAGCAAGAAGAAAGCAATTATTGGAGGAACAGTTGCGGGAGGAATAAGTCTACTACTTATGGCATCGTTTGTGTGGTTCATTTTATCAAGAAAAAGGAAGATAACTCCAAAAGGTGAACCAAAATTAAGTATCGTCGATTTTCATCAGCATCAAGAGACAAGTTTAATAATTTCATCCCATCTATTTTATTTTGAGCATTTGAGAGAACTTTCTAATTTTTTTTTTATTGTATTTATAATGTGTCTCAACATCAAGGTTAATTACAGCATTCTAATATCAACTATAAAACTTAAATAACCAATTTAATTAAAAGCATACGTTTGATAGTTAAAACATGTACCATTTCTGTAATTAATCGAGTCTCTCTTTTGATTGGCTGAAAAAGTACAAAGCAAATGAATAGCAGGAAACAAAAATGTTTAAGAAGAAAACTTCAATATTTTTCACAATTTTTAGGCTTAAATAGCTAATATACAAGCCTTAGATCCTAAAGTTTAGGATCCAGAATAATAGCTGTAATTATCTAGATATAAAATACGAAACAAATAATTACAAGAATCCTAGTCTACCTTATACAGCTACTAAAGATACAATATGAGATAAACTAAGAGTCTTTATTTCTGAACAGAAAAAATATATAACAAGTTGATTAACTGATATATCCCTGCTTTCTTTTTGTGACCGGAGATATCCTAGAAGCGACTGAATTGCAAAGTCCCATCAATTACAGATATAAAGATTTGGTTTCTGCGACAAGAAAATTTATTAAAGAAAATAAACTTGGAGAGGGACGTTTTGGTTTATTTTACAGGGTAAAATAAGATGAATTGTAGAATATATAATCTTTGAAAAATCAAGATAAATACATTTAGCATTGTAGTCTTACAATGAGATTTTTGCTACACTATTGAGTTAAATCTGTTTGCATATCATAAGAATGCAAAACTCTATCTGGATGGTAATGTCTGTTCTACGATTTTTTTTGAAATTTTGATGTGATTGCACTGCAGGGCACTCTGAATAATGGAAAAGTAGTTGCAGTAAAGAAACTGGCAATATGGTTTTCTGGCAGGATAACATCTGATTTTGAAAATGAAGTTAAGCTTATAAGCAATGTTCATCACCGGAATGTCGTCCGCCTTCTTGGTTGTTGCAGCAAGGGCCCAGAATAACTTCTTGTTTATGAGTTCATGGCCAACGGCAGCCTTGATGAATTCTTATTTGGTAAGCTATTATAATTTTATCTTTCTCTGAATTTATCAAGCTGTCTTTCAATTCTTCACTTGATTCATAGAGATCTCAATTTTGAATGTTAAATATATATTACATATATGATGCTACAATTATTACCAATAAAATAAAGCACCTCTAGCTCAAAAATGTTATGTTTTTTCCCCACCCAGTTTTAAGATATTATGATTTACCTCTTACCCACATTACTTACCTATTTACATTACTTAATTTGGTATTTTAAAAAAAAAAAAAAAAAAAAAATAACAGGAGAAAGACGAGGGTCTCTGAATTGGAAACAAAGGTATGACATAATCCTGAACATAGCAAGAGGGCTCGCCTATTTGCATGAGGATTCCCATGTTTGCATAATTTATGGAGATATTAAACCCAGTAATATTCTTCTGGATGATGATTTCCAGCCAAAGATCGCTGACTTTGAATTGGATAGGCTTTTCCGTAGCAGTATATGCTGTCTAGGCTACGACTGTGCAGGGACATGGTAAGTTCAATTTTTTATTTTATCCAAAATTAGTTGAAAATTTTATTTGATTAATTGATAGTTTTAAATGAACTACTCGGGATACACAGCACCTGAGTATGCACTTCGTGGACAATTATCAGCAAAGGCTGATACTTACAGCTATGGTATTGTTGTCCTTGAAATCACGCTTATTTAAACTGTCACCTTTCCTTCTTTCTTACTCCATTATTTAAACTACAATTTGCTTATCATGCTTCAATGTATAGGCATGGAAACTATACGAGAATGGCTTACACGTGGAGTTGATGAATGAAAGTTTAGACCCAAACGAATACACTGAAGAAGAAGCTAAAAAAGTAGTGGAAATTGCTTTAATGTGCTCTCAGGAATCTGCTGCTTCAAGGCCAACAATGTCAGAAAGTGGTTGTTTTGCTTGAAAGCAAGGGTTCCTCAGAGAATAAACCAGTAATAACGAGGCCTACTTTTATTGACCGCTAAACAAGGGTTCGTGGAGACACTTCGGCATCCTCTTCTTCTTCCATATCTAACGCTATAACCTCCATCACAGATGTCTCTGGTCGTTAATAACTTCATTCTATTTCAAAATAAAAGGTAGAAACTTTTGTGATCTTGTAGAGTGAATGATTTATGTTGACAGTACTTTAATCAACAAATGTAATCTGATAAAGAGATTCCACATACCCATGGATCACTTCTAGGACTTATTCATTGACTGGATTCGATTTGGATGTATCAAACAATGCAATTGAATCTGTAATATGGTAAAATGCGTTTCAGGTTTTACTTTGTCCTGTAGTTGATGTACTTGTATAAATTTTCTTTACAGATGGCGTAGAGACATAAGCGTAAGATCTCCGATCAAAGTCCAAATTCTCTATAATTAGTTTTCGCCATGTCAGTTCTCGTATAAAAAACAAACAGGCAGAATCAAGAGTTAAATGCCCACCATTGAAAAGTTTTGAACTAATAAAAGATAAAGAAAACTGTTAGATGAACTGATATTATCGGACTGGTACCACGTTGTGATCTGCTTGTGGGGCAAATTTAGAATGGCTGTAAAACAAACAGGCAGAATCCCTCACATCCCAGAAAATTTCTTTTCATCTTCTTGTATTATATCTATTGAAAATTCTATTTTATATGGTTTCCCTTAAAATTGTGGCTGTCCACCAGTGAAAACTTTGGACTAAGTAATGTAGGGCTTTACCCCGGAGGGAGCCCTTCCAGAAATTCTCGAAGGCCAGGGCAGAACCCAGGCCTAAGAGGGGGTTTGGAAATAGTTTTCAACCAGCAATAGACGCGCCTCGGTTAGAACCTCACTAGCTGCGTCATTGCCCCAAGCGCAAAGATGCCTTTCTCTTTATCTCATCGCCTGTCTTATAGCCCTTTGCTCTCATCAACTCACTATAATTTCTTCGATGTGGGATTTTCTTCTTCCTGAAAATAATCAATTATCATTATGCTAGAATCAGTATTAAAATTATGGATAACCAATTCACAATCTAAATAATGAAATATGATTAGGTTTCTTCATCTTCACGGCTTTATCACTTCTCCTCTCTTGATTTTACAGTGTCTACCAGCTATTGATAGTTACTTTCTTTTGCGATATGGGCCTCCGGCCCAATCAACCTTCTTTATTGAGAAATTGAAGCCCACTAGGCCAGACCCAGTTCTTTATAAGGATTCCCAAACCAATTTGAAATAACTAAAGTCAATATGTGTAGACTAATTATGTCAAAACCAATTGGCTACAAAACAAGTAACCATTTTCTAATTGAGTAAACAATTTTTTCCCACCCAAGGTTTGCCTTAACAACATTTTCTCACTTAAAAAGTTTCAAAATATCATTTTTTTACCCAAAGTTTATATTTTGTTAATACTAAAAATACACTTTATTTTTTCAGTTAGTATTCGGTGAGTTAACAGGAGCCAAGATAAGATAAGTTTTGTAAAGTGGAGGCTAGTGAATCGAATGGTAGTGACCAATTGAATATTCGTTGTCGAAATCAGTTAAAAATAAACTAAGAACATGAAATTTTAACTTTGCGGTGACCGATAATCGACGAGAAATCAAATATCAGAGTGAGAGAAGTTTTATAGAAAGGAGATATAATGTTCAAATGATAGTGATAAAGAGAATATTTGTCGTTGTAATCGGTTGTAATTAGCTTCGGGTAGTAACAAAATAATAATTTTGGGTGAAAAAGTGATATTTTAAAGTTTTTTTGGGTGTGAAAGTTATTAAGGCAAACCTTGGGTGGGAAAAAGTCGTTTACTATTTCTTATTAACCAAACAGATTTGTAGATTACGCGTATAATCTACCTGGTGTCATGTTATGAAAATGGATTAGTAAACGGACGGCTGAGATGATATTAACAACGAAATGTGATGAGAGCGTAACAAACGCCAAAGGGAGTGATCCACGTACGTTGTCTGATTCAAGAAAAAGGAAGATGCTTTAGAATATCCTCCTTATCTCTCTGTATACTATTTTTCTCGATTATCAAACTCAATCTTTTCCAATTATTGCTGCTGTCCCTCTCTATATTAACTCACTTTATCCCCCCCCTTCTTCCATTCCATCGCTTTCCTTCTACTTCTTTTCCAAAACAAAAACAAAACCCGCCCAGAAGCAGAGCAACATGTTTCCTGATCACACTGTATCCGACTCCGAACAACAACTCATAGAAAAGCTTGAGATCTTCAAGATTCATGGCAAAGATAAACATGGCAATAAAATCCTTCGTATCATTGGGAAATTCTTGCCTGGTAATTCTTTTTTTTTTGGTCCTTTTTTTTGATTGTTTGTTGTGTTTTCTTGGCCTAACGTTTGGGGGTTTTGCATGAATGATTAATAGCTCGAAATTTGAGTGCTGAAGTTCTGAAGAATTATTTGGAGGAGAGGGTTTATCCCAGATTGGCGAAGAAGCGCTTTGCGATACTGTATGTGCACACCGGAGTTCAAAGAAGTGAGAATTTTGTGGGAATTTCTGCTTTGCGATCGATTTACGATGCTATTCCAATCAATGTCAAAGAAAATCTTCAAGCTGTTTACTTTGTTCATCCGGGTTTGCAGGCCCGCCTCTTTCTTGCTACCTTTGGTCGCCTTTTCTTCCATGGAGGGTGAGATTACAACAACTCAAAAAGCACTTTTGTTAAAAGCACTTTTAACTCTTTTTGACTTTTAATTATCGAATGTTTTAGTGCTAATTTAGGGGGGTGTTTGTGTGTGGTAGGTTGTATGGGAAGCTGAGGTATGTGAACAGGATTGATTATTTGTGGGAGCATGTGAGGAGAAACGAGGTTGAGATTCCGGAGTTTGTGATTGATCATGACGAGGATTTGGAATACCGTCCGATGATGGATTATGGATTGGAGAGTGATCATCCGAGAGTCTACGGTGCACCCGCACTGGATTCCTCTGCTGTGTCTATGTACTCCATGAGATGCATCTCCTAGAAGATGCAGTGGGCCGGCTTCTGTTTTCTTTTTAAAATTTTCTTTTTTAAATTTTCTTTTGGAGCCATGGGCCGGCCCCAAGTTTTCTTTGTAGAGTTAGTTTTATCATGTGAATATTTTGGAATACCAATTGTCAAATCCCTAATTCGATCGGGTAACAAGCCCATTTTAATACCAATTATCAAATCTGGCTTTAACAAACGAATCTCGTAAACTGAATCTCATAAACTCTTTGGCTAACCGATGTGGCACCTGAGTTGAATTAAAATGATAATTAGTAACTTTGATTAAATATGAACGGTCATTTTTTAAGGACAAACATTTATTCTTTAAAGATGAACGGTTGTTTTTTGTTAAAGAACGGTAATTTTTTTTTGAAGGAATGATCATCGAAAGAATACTTATTTTTTTATAAGGAATGACTATTTTATGATTATTATTTTTCTTTACATAACTCACATATAGTTGTTCCTTTGAAAAATGACCTGTTCTATAAGGAAGGAACAGCTATTCCATAAGGAAGGAATAACCGTTCCCTAAAGGAATGGGCATTTCTTATATGAACGAACCCGTACCTTAGGTGTGGTGTCACGTTAAATTTGTGAAAGAAAGTTGTCAACCTATTTTTATTGTAATCAAATAAGCATCCTTCAATTAAAACAACATCCTTCATCCAAATTGCTCTCGTTGGTTAGCAATTTGTGTGTGATTTGACCCTGTTTTGTTTCACTTTTAACAAAATAACGCAAAGATTGAGAGGTTTATCAATGGCTATTTATAGCTTTTCCTGCTCAGTTAGGCTTATCAATGCCCATCTTGAGTTTTTCTTGCTCAGTTAGGTTTATCAATGGCTCTTGTTTCCAAAATAAAAATTTTGCACAAACTTTCAGGTTTTCTTAACACTTCAAGATATGCTTCAAGAATGTCAATCATTCAGATGAATCTCATCTCAAGTGAAATTGTATTCAAATCTCAAACATGTAACCTCCATTCAATTGAAGGCCATAGCACATAGAAGAAGCATAAACATGTAGCTTAGTATGTCCCATTGGAAACAAAAACTGAATAAAGACCCCCAAAAACTTAACTACTGCAACTTCGTCCTCTTCAAATTTTTCTCTGGTGACTGGTTCTGTGATGCGTTATCCAGTCGGCTGTCCTTGGCCTTTCTGCGGTTGACAAACTCTGAGAAGGATGGAATCACTGGCTGTTGTGTATTAGGAGAAGCACTTTCCTTCGGCAGAGCATTCATCCAGGTTTCGGACCTAGCGTTGCTGCAATTATGTTCGTTAGTAATTTCTGCTGGTTGATCCAACAAAGATGATGGCGCCACAGGAGATTTTTCTTTACAGATAATGTTCTCTGAAGAGGAACTGGTATTGGTGCACAGTCGATTAGTTAGGTCAGTGGAATTCGTGGTTGACAGCCACCTAATAGTACTTGCCATTTGGGAATAATAGACTGATTTTCCACTCTTTCCATAGCTTTTATAGCATTCATTTTCAAGGAAAGTGGCTGATGATTCAAATTCAATGCTGCAATGAAGACTTCAAAAAATGAGGATCTTTCATGGTTAGTCAGAAAAATGGTGCTTATTAAAAAATCCCAATATATGAATGCAATATCCTTTTTAGATTTCAAACAATGAGGGGAAGTCTCATTGTAATTCAGAAACCTCAGGCCCTTTCATGGAGAAAAAAGTTCCATATATGTTAAGTGTAAAGGTTACTGTACCTTAAGCTGCCAAGCCGCTGCTGAGCCTGCGTCAGAGCATTTACTAATCTCTGCTTGCTTGCTTCCCTCAGAGATTCAGATATTGCATTCTTGTTGAGTTTATTGACCTGCAGACAAACTAACCAGATAAAGTATTCTGCAGGGAGAAAACATCACATTTGGATTCAAAGTTAAAACCATAAGACACAGTAAAGAAAAAAAGATGGAAAGATTTAAGACTCAAAACCAACTAATGTGACAGATTATTGACCTGTTTATCAGAGTTTTTATTCCCATAATAACTCTCTTCTGCACGCTGCAAAAACTCAATCTTCTCATTTATTCCTGATTTTGTTGAGAACTTTGACTTGGATAAGCTCTTGACAACCTTGACGCCATCTGGTAATTGAGAGACTCATGTAATAAGATGATGGAATCACCGTTGAGTATTTTCCAAGCCATCAAAAAAAAAAAAAAAAATGATTACCATCAGAGTCAGATATATCTTCTTCAGAGTCACTTGCTTCATCATCACGGTTCCAAAATTCTGAAACTTGTTCTTCTTGGATCATATCTTGAGAGCTGATGTAAAAAGGACATGAATGAATCATTTCAAAGGACAATCTATACATGAAAATTTCATATGCAAGTTAACACTTACTATGAGATATGGACTGACGAATTGAACCAGTTACAAAACTTTGGAAATATTATCGGTGAAAAACTACAGGCAAGACCTTTTAGATTCATTTTATATTTCTCCAAATAGAAGTATTGACCCTTCAATGACACTCGTTGAAACACATTAAAGAATCACAAACACATATCCAGCAACTGGATTGATTAAGCTTCATCATATCAAAAGATATTTGCTCACAATTCTTTTGATAATTACGAAGCATGTCCTAAGTCGCACAATTATGAACATACGAGGGATAAGAGCCAAACTGATAATAGAGAAATAAAATAATCTATAATTAAGAACTCTAGGTTTAAGTGCAGATGATCATAGAATCTCTTGGAACCTTCCTTCACCCAAGGGCTTCTACCAGTCCATCTAAGGTAATTATATTACACATCTTCCTTTGGAAGTAGATTGGTCATTGGATTAACCAATTAATTTGCAAGTATAAATCAAGATTTCCTCCTAGTGAAACTTTGCTTGCATAATCCATGAAAAAATAAGAAGCTATAGCAAAGATGAAGTAGTATTATTAATGGTAATAGCCAAAGAAAAAATAAAATAATATCAGGCATAACCCTTCTGAGGACAGAATAGTGAACCATTTGAGGTTTGGAATAGAACACAAGATTATGTGTAGGTTATTTTGCATTTCTATGATTTGAAGTCAATTTTAATGCACAAAAGCTTCTCAAGTATTTGCATTCTACTGAAATGATAGAATAAGAAAAGAAAAGAAACAATATTACCTTATGAAAATTTGAGAGAAACGATTTTTTTGCTGTAAAGCACATGTAGTTGTTAACTCTTCCAAATATTTGGCAACTAGGTTTGGATGTTTGCAGGCATCACATGTTTTTTTACATAGTGATGCAGATACCTAGTTTAGATGATGAAAATAAGTAGCTGTAAAAGAGTGCTGAAGAAAAGCATTCTGTAGTACATAGTGGCCATCAATGTAAATCCCTACCTGTTCCCCAAAACTCTCAAGAATCTTTTTCCTGCGGCATCCAGAACCTTCACAATACTCGACCATCTGCAAATGGTAAGGATTCAGATTTTCTGAAATATCGACATCACAGAAAGTTCACACAGGGAAAGTACAAAAAGGATTGGAGATCACCTGATTGAAATTGGACATTGAATTTTTTGACAACCCTCCCTGAGAGCTTGAGGGCTGTAAGTTCTTGCTCTCAGCCTTGCTTAGAATGAATTCCTGACACACAGTTCTGAATTATTAGTTGAAATTCCAGTGAACATTTAGATAATCTGAAAGGAAATAGGAGTGGTACTACTGAGACAGTGACCAACCATCCTTCTGCGGTCATCCATTCCATAATACAACAAACTTCTAGAGGGCAATTGATCACGACCAGCTCTACCTGACTCTTGATAAAAGGCTTCCATTGACTTCGGAATATTGAAGTGGCAAACCACTCTAACATCTTTTCTATCTATACCCTAGAAAGATAGATTACAAAGCCATTAGTGACATGATACCTGCTCAACAGTATCCACCAACAGTAAAACAAGCACACAATGATTTGTACACAATTCAATGAGAGCATAATTCAGTCACGTACCATCCTGAATGAACAGCACTAGCTCAATATTTGTGCACACACCACAACACCTCAAAGCAGAAGAATGAGGAAAACAAGAAAATCATCACATGCTCATGTCATCATTAGATATTGAAATATGAAAAAAACTAAACAGTGCAGCATAAAGCACTTTAAAACAAGAAACCTACATTCAGATAAATACAACTAGCATATAAACCAGTTTCCTGATCAGAGAACTTTTGTATAGAAGGTAAGTTAATGTTTATGAGCGTAACTCTGAAACTGAGACAAGCTATTTTAGGTATTAGGAAGAAGTTTGAGATAAAAGAGCACAGAAAAAAGGCTGAATTTCTAGATTCAACCATACCCAAAAGCAACTGTAGCCACAACAACTTGTATCTTGGAAGAAATCCAATCATCTAATATGGAGCTCCGCAATTTATTATTCAAGCCTGCATGATAAGCTGAAAGTACACAAGAAAGAAAAGACTTCACCTGATGTCCATAAAGATTCAAGCTTTTTGTGGAGAAAGAAAAGGATTTCAAAAAAATTCGGTCACCAGCACAAGAAATGCCACTTTTGGAAAGATGAGCAGACAACTCGTCACAAGTTGTGCGTTCGAGACAGTAAACAATTGCACAGATATCTCCAATAGACTTGAGAGCATTACACAAATCGTCATAGACATCATCTAAAAGATCTTTGTATCGAACTGCATTATAGAAATACCTTCTTAAAATGTTTATATCATTATATACGGTACTGAAAATTAAGAAACTTAAAACAACACAACCAAGCAGTGTAGTCCAATTTTCCATTGACTACATTCTCTGACATAGATACACAATAAATAAACTGGACTCATTAACTCCCACAGGACCTACCTTCATAATATAAATTTGGACGATTAAAAGAAGATATAAGGACTAGAGGGTTCTGCAAGCATAAGGACTCTATCACATCCTTCTGAACTCTGTAATTGAAAAGCAAGAGAGGTATAGGGAAAAGAAGAGGAGCAACAGATCTTGGTCAGTTACAAAGACTGTGAAATCCAACTTAAAACAAAAAGAGAGAGGATACTCAAATTGAATATTTAAAGGTAACATAAATTAGTACTGAAGTCAGTTCTTTTCCAGAGTTATGACCAGACTCACTTGGGAGCAGCAGTTGCTGTCAGTGCCAATACTGGTACATCTGGGAGGCAGTTCCTCAAAGATGAGAGCTTACGGTAACTAGGCCTGTAAGTAAATTAAAGAACAAAAATAGAGAAGCTCAAGCATGGAAGTTTCATGCAGTATCAATCCAGCACGAGTAATAAGAAAATGCAAAATCCTACTCTCAACAAATTCACAAAAAAAGAAAAAAGAATGGCATAAGAATGCGAGAAATTCACTTGTTGCTCATTAATTCAATAGATTACAAACCTAAAATCATGGCCCCACGATGAGATGCAATGTGCCTGAAATTTTGGAAAAAAAGAACTGAAATTATAGACAACAAACGTTAAAAACTTTTTAAACCAAAAAAAAAAAAAAAAGAAAAAAAATGAAAAGACCCCTGAAAATTCCATTTGAGGTACATTGAAATGCCAAATGATATAATACATGCTGAGTAAGTAAGTTCACACCTCATCTATGGCAATGAGATTTAACAACCCTCTTGAATGAATCTTCCTCAGCTTTGACATAAATCCTGATGTTGCAATCAGTTCTGGTGTTACATATAATAGTCTCAATGATGGTTTTCCAGAATCAAGGTCTTCATGTATCTAATAAATAATAATTACCAAGAATCATCACTAATCAAACACATATACCCAATAACCTACACTATTTTTTAAAGTATCCAAAACAGTAAACTAATTAACATTATTCACCTTATTTCTCACTTGTAGTGTCTGTGTTGAAGACAGAAATTCAGCAGCAATTCCTTTCTCCTTCAACGCCATCACTTGGTTTTCCTAAAACTTCTAAAAACATCCATGAAAGATATCCAACCCCTCAAACCTTAAAATATTCTTAAATAATAATTAATAATTTAATTTAAAGTCACATTACTCTTACCATCAGAGCTGCAAGCCAAAAAAAACAAAAAAAATTAGAGCTTGATAGAATAATAGGAATAAAAATTAGTCAACATTATGTTTAAACAATATAAATAGGATTCACCTATTAAAGGAGAAACAACAAGTACAATTCCAGGTTTAACCAGAGCAGGAATTTGATAGCAGATTGACTTTCCACCACCAGTTGGCATCAAACAGAAACAATCTCTCCCTAAATGCATAATAACAGAAATAATTAATTTAATGATTAATCAAGCAAATAATATAAGTAATTAATTTTAATTAATAACGTTTTGTTTGTGAATTGTGACCTGATAAAACCGCTTGAATAGCGTCAAGCTGTTTATCCCTAAATTGAGCGTGGCCGAAATGCCATCTCAAGAGTTTCACTAGACCTTCCTTTTCGAATATATTCTTCTTCTTTTGTTTCTCACTTCCACTTTGCATCGCCAATGGCGTCTTCTTCATCTTTCGTTTAACCCTAACTGATTTAGCAGGAATTGGAAAAGCTTTTCGAATTTCGCGGCGTTTTAAGGAATTGTTTGTGAATTGGGGGAAACGATGCCGTTTCATATTGAAAAGTATCTCACTTATTAAACCGACGTCGTAGCTATTTTAATATTAATTAGTTTGAGGATAATTTGATTGTAACAGATGATGACGTGTCAGGCCATTGCCTTCACTCCGTTCTTCACTTAAAACTCCGTAAAACGCAGAGCTTTATCAGATTCCTAAACCCAAATCTTCGTTCATACCCAACATTCGACTTCTTCTTCTTCGCTATTAAGAGGTAAATTTTTATATTTTGTAAAGATACATACTGTTTTCTTTAGTTCTGATTATAATGAATGATGTTATGGAGTTAAATGAGCTTGTGGCTTCTGTTGAATTTAGTTACCGTCTCTAGTCATCCTTCAGCAATCAAAATTTTCGATCCACTGTTATCATAACTTCTACTTTAGTTATTGGACTTGCCCATATCTTTAAGATTTTGAGAAGCTATTAGTTTATAAGTTCATTTACCTTTTTTTTTTGGGTGCATTTCATATAAATTTTATGTGTTAGGACTTCATTAGAGTACATTGGACTTTTCATTATCTTGAATTTTTCCATACTTATATTTTTTTTAAGTGATAAGTGTTAATTAATAGTTGTGAAGATTATGGATGGTGTTGACAGAGATGGTGTTCTTGTGCTGGGGTCGACCATCTCCTCAAGATCAGAAGGCTTGCATTGACAAGTAAAAGCATTTGACGATTTGGTTCTTTCTCTTATCTTGAAATTGTAACTGTTTTTGGTGTGTATGTCCATTTGTGCTTGTAACTGTAAATTATCAGCAGGTCTGGTGTCTTCAACTATGATGGTAAGTACAGAGGAGCAACTGCTAAGCCTGCATCTTACCTTAGAGAAGACCCCGAACTCTCAAAAGATGGCTTCTTACTCAATCATGAACGTGTTTTGGTTGGTTCGGGTCGTGATACTTATGAGAAGAGCAAGACAGCTCTTAAGACATGGAGGTGTGTGGATTTCTTTTAAACATATTTATAAAACATCTATTGAGAGAGAGATCCTAATGGAATGAATTGGTTGAATTTGCAGACATTTCGGGTTAAATTGGGCATTTGTTGATCCCAAGACTCCAGTACAAAGTGGGGCTAAGTTCTGTGTCTGTGTCAAGGAGTTTCTTCCATGGGTCATGATGCCTCTTCAAGTGGTTTATGTAAATGAAAGTAAACGAGCAAAAAAGTCTGTGGCTTCATTTGGTTTCGGCAGTGGAACCCTTCAAGGTCACCTACTAGTAAGTAAATATATTCTGCTGCAATTATATATATTCTTTTTATAAATTAAAGTTGGAAAGAAACGACTTTATCCTTTCGTATATTTTGCCTGGTCATATAAATGCATCAGTCTCTTTCGGGATTATATGCTAGGTTAACAATTTAGGCAAAATCACTTAAGAAAAAAATTAGAGTCCTATCTTTTATAGTTTCAGAAAACCTTGTCAAAATAAAGTAGGGATAGCCGGTTTTACTTAGCATATAGCTCTTGCAAGAAAGAAAATTTTTGAGCTGATTTTGTTCTAATTTCCTGGCTGTTATCATGTAAAAATGAGTGTTGCTAACATCATTAACTGACAAGACAATTTGTCTTGGATCTATGTGGATGTATTGCTTCATGTTTTGGGAAGCCAAACAAAAGGTGTGAACGAAATAAAAAGTATAGATGTGGAGTTCTACCATAAAATCTTCAAACATTGCTACCAAAGGTTTGATACAAAAGTGGGTTTTCATGCCTAATTGGCTACTTGATAAAATCTGTGGGCCGATTTGCATATGAACCATAGTTAAATTCCTGCTCAAGAGTGATGTTTAGAGCTTAGAGTTACTTGCAAAATATAAATTGCATTGAACATTGGTGTATTGTTATCACAGTAAATATCCATGACTGCAATAATGACTTCTGTATTAACATGTTAATGTTTTGTATTCAAGTTTCTTATCACCAAACAATTAATCACATTTCATTGCTTTGATTGACCTAACTGGCTCAGATTTTAAGTTCCTCCACTTTTTTCAGTTGAAACATCAAGGGTGAAAAATCATGTGCTTACAAGATGCCTCACCCTTTCATAGTTGAGAACACTTGGGTTTGCCCAAATTTGTTCACTCACCCAAATCCAAATCTTAATGCAGTTATAATGCAACAGAACAAGGGAAAATACCACTGTTATGGTCACCTCTGCATGTTCTTAACAGGTTTTCTGTGAACACTGCTGCACTTTGCACAGAAACTCTTAGTCAAATCTTAATGCAGTTCTAATGCAACAAAACAAGGGAAACTACTATTGTTTTTTGTCATTTCCGTAGGTTCTTAAAAGGCTAGCTGAGAATAACTGCTGTATCTGAGACTTATGTATTTTGATTTGTTTATATATATAAATGAATCAATATATATATATAATGCTACTCCTTCAAAATGGATAAACACAGACTATACTAACATGACATTAAATTTGCCGGAATGCAGGCTGGGGAAGAGTGCTTTTCTGTTGAGCTGGATGAAAATAACCAAGTATGGTATGAAATACGTTCCCTCTCAAAGCCAGCACACTTTCTGTCATTTATTGGATACCCATATGTGCAACTTAGGCAAAAGTGTTTTGCTCATCAATCTGCCAATGCAATTAAGAAACATTTGACTGCTTCATGATTGCATTTATATTGCAATAATGTATGTTTGATGAAAATGCTACCATAATCATCTCTATCGTGTTCTGCTTTGTTACTAAAAGCTGTGATATTCTGGTGTTCTGTGATTGACTTCATCACAACCCCATCTTATTATCTGTCAAATGCTACCATGAAGGTATGAATCTCTATCGCACTGCACTTTATGTTCTTACTGAAGAACTATGTTGTTCTTCGGTGTTTTCTGATCGACTGGTTTGCCACCCCATGTTTATAACCCACATGACAGTTTTTTCGCAAATACTTTCTTCATGACACTTAACTTCCTTCACAAACGTGTTGGTGAAGTAGCTGTTAACTATCTGCCTTCCCTCATCTTTTGAATTTTGAAAGCTCAGTAGTTAGTGGAGTAAATCCCGTTTAAATTGTTATGGTAGCTAACAGCTATACCTTAATAACATGTGTTTTAACTGAAGCCTGCATTGACAATAATTTTTTAGTTGGAGCCATCTCAACAGAGAATATTTTCTTTTCTATAATGGTTGTATATACAACCAGTCATAAGGTGCGTCATGTCAACACATGTAACATGCATTATCACTCTCTAATGGATTGGTTGTACATACAACCGTTGTATCGAAGATAATTCCCTAAGATGATAGTTTAGTTGTTTGGATCTTTGAATGTTGAAAGTAAGAGTTTTATGAACCAAAGCCTTTTTGTTTTTGTACAAACCTGGTAGTAGGGAATCAGTTTAATTCCGATAAGAACACAAATTCAGATGGTAGTTTAACATCCCTACTTGTAATACACAACTAATAAGTTTGTGGAATAGTGTCCTAGTTTTCACACATCCAATTCCCTCACTTGATAGAATCGTCAATCACAGTAAAGTAATAATCCATTAGGAGACCAGTAGCTGACAAAACCTCTACAGGTTTTACCACTCTGTCTAAGTAACCTCGACTTCATAGTTAAGATTATTTTGGGTAAAAAGGAAGAAGATGAAAGTAAATGAGCAAAATCGAGTTTGTACTAAGTTGTTAAAATCTCATTTAAACTTGATGTTAACACCTCTTGTAGACGAACTACTATGAATCTCTCCCAATGCACCAATTTGTCTATTACTTCTGAACAGAAAAATGAAGAATTGCGTTACTAAATTATGGTGTTCAATGACAACCCATCATGAATCCTGTTGAGATCTGAGTCACCACAAAATCTATACATACATAATGATAATATTTCTCCATACTGAGAACACTACATGAACTGGTAAACATTAAACTGATGAGCTGCGGCTGGCAAAATAGATTTCAAAATTCGTAACATCCGCAAAAATTTCTTGAGTGGAACTCCCAAATCTTCATATAGGTGCAAAAAAGAAATCCTCAAACTAGGTAGCAGCTATCCTGTAGTGATCAAATTCTTAGATAAAGTTTCAAAGAGTAGGCAATGATCAATAAGGCAACAAGCTCAGAGATATAATTTCAATTAACAACTACGAAGAAGAAATACTTACACATTTAGAGTTGATGAACCAAGTTGGGATTCTTCTTCAACCAAACGGGTGGAGGCCAGAAAATCTTAAATTAAGTTTTGGAAATGAAAACCTTGTTTAATCAAATAAAAAATCCTAGCACCCATTCTTAGGTGATGACCAGGAAGGTAAGAGAAGCTACCATCAACAAAATAAACAGGATTTCCTTCACATCCAAAGAACTCTTCGATCGACACATAAAATGAACAATCTTCATCCACAAACAACATTCTATTTTCCAAACTCTCTTTCCCGCAAACCCACTCACATTTCTTTTCATCAAGCTTATAAATTATGAACTCAAACCACTCAACTTCTTCACCATTATAAGTACCATACTTCCGATTATCAACAATCATATACAAATCCTCCAACAACTTTAACAAATAGCCATGAGTAAAATTCATACTCTGTAATGGAGTTGCAACTTCTGTAATGGTCAAACACTTATAATCAACAGCTAGAGTAAGACCTGTGGGGAGCAAAACATAGAATTTTTTGTTATGATAAATAATATCAGCAATACTTTCACGGGGAATGTTTATATGAGTCCATTTCTGGTCAGCATTTCTCCCGCAAAAGTAGTTTCCCTGAATCATACAAAGCCATAACTACAAACTCATCATCAGTCTCATGATGACATCTTGAAACAACTACTTTTCTGAAAAATATATTCATGTTATCGTTAGAACTAATGACAAGTTGGTAGGCTTTAGCGATTTCCTTGACCTGATAATCTACCAAGTTCAAGGTTGGCGGTAACTTATCGGACAAGTTTCTAAAATACCTTCCAAAAAGTGGATCATGGAGTCGAACTTTGCCTGTGTTCAATTGTTGGACTTTGACTATCCATGTTTTTGTGGTTTCATGTGCGTGGGAGATCTTGCTAAGAGGTTGGATTGCATAAATTATGGACTGAGTGAGTACAAAGTGTCCGTCATTGTTGATATGTAACTCTGAGGGAAAGGGAATCTTGAGTTCAAAGCATGGAGAAATGGGTTTTGGAAGAGGGCTGGAGGACCGAAATGAAGGACAAACTGCGCGAAAACGCAAGGTGTCGCCTAATGAGTCGATGCCTTTTGATATCAATCCGAGTATGTGGTCTGGGAGGGTAGACCAATCGATTGTGCTCCTATTCATGATTGGCAAACAAGTGATAATACTAAAAGCAACGAGGAAAATAATAAAGATAAAGGACTCGAAGGCAGGCGGATTGAATTGCATGGATATATTTATATTCGGAGTGAAATCCTCAAGGGAATGACAGTGTGATGGATTTGAAATATATTCTTGTTATCTAGTGAAATTCTGAAACGATTTTGCCGATACCTAAGTAAATGAAGGTATTGTGGGGAAGGGAATTTTTAAAGTTTGAATATTTTAAGGGTGCGGGATATTTTTTGGAGGAGCTAAGAATATCAAAGAGGATGAATATTTAAAGTTAGATATGTAGCTTTCAAAGAAGATGCAACTACTGAAATTGACTGTTCTATCTTTCACACATATGATTCCCTCCACTTTGTAGAATTGTGAGGACCATGCAGAACATCTTATCCACAATATTAATAGAACAAAGAGCTGTGAAAGATTTATGATTGAGATGTTTTCAACATGATAAGCTATTGCAAGGCAACATCAAAACATATTTCAACGACACTGCCTAAGAGCTGTGACGATAAGTAAGGATAACAAAAGCAACTACTAATGTTTCTATGAAACTTACAGGCTGTTGTTGCCAAAGTCCCACATTGTTTAAGAGATGATGATCTTGATCGCTTATAGCACAAGGACACTCTCACCACCCAGAGACATCTTTTCAGGACAAAATTATACGGGCTCCAGGACTCAAAGGGAACAATACCTCTAAGAACACTGGGACAAAACTTGCGTGCCGATTTGGATGTGGAAGAGTTTTACACCAAGAACACTGGGACAAAACTTGTGTGTCAATTTGGATCAAATCCAACTGGTAGTTTTTGAAAAAGTTTTTATTTTTTTTCCTCTTTTACCTTTTTCTTTTAAGGGAAGAAAATTCAAAGCATAGAAATATTCCAAGAAAGTAGACGAGATAAGTACCAAAGGTGGAGCTGTAAAGAAACTTTTGAATATGGGAATTAACATCGATTTGTTACCACAAATCAGGACTTGAGAAAGAAGAAAAATCAAAACAAGGAAATTCATGACTTCAGACAAACAATTTTGCTAGGCATTTTCATATGTTAGAAAGATGCAGAAAGCGATCACAAAACCATAAATAAGGCATGTTCATAATATATACGGTTGAGGAAGAATATAGTCCTGTGCAGTTTATAACAATTCAGTAGTATTGCTTGTATAATTTACTTCAAAACCAAAACATCAAATTGGACGCACGGTAAAACTTCAAAAGAAGAGTCCATTAACACAACTCAGTGTACACAGCAGAAAACTTCCCTAGTTTTGCTTGTAAAAAATCCTCAATTTCCCATCCCAATTTATATCATTTGCCCATAATAAATCCTNTCAATTTGGATCAAATCCAACTGGTAGTTTTTGAAAAAGTTTTTATTTTTTTTCCTCTTTTACCTTTTTCTTTTAAGGGAAGAAAATTCAAAGCATAGAAATATTCCAAGAAAGTAGACGAGATAAGTACCAAAGGTGGAGCTGTAAAGAAACTTTTGAATATGGGAATTAACATCGATTTGTTACCACAAATCAGGACTTGAGAAAGAAGAAAAATCAAAACAAGGAAATTCATGACTTCAGACAAACAATTTTGCTAGGCATTTTCATATGTTAGAAAGATGAAGAAAGCGATCACAAAACCATAAATAAGGCATGTTCATAATATATACGGTTGAGGAAGAATAAAGTCCTGTGCAGTTTATAACAATTCAGTAGTATTGCTTGTATAATTTACTTCAAAACCAAAACATCAGATTGGACGCATGGTAAAACTTCAAAAGAAGAGTCCATTAACACAACTCAGTGAGCACAGCAGAAAACTTCCCTAGTTTTGCTTGTAAAAAATCCTCAATTTCCCATCCCAATTTATATCATTTGCCCATAATAAATCCTCAATCAAAAATATGCAGAATAGGAAGTTGGTTTTTTTTTTTTTTTTTTTTTTTTGGGTTACTATGCGTGTTCATGCTAACTTGCATGCACTTAGGTTGAATCTCCTAGGACCTTAAAGTTAAAGACAGGTTATACCCTCCAGTGGACATGCTAAGCGAGTATATCTACAAGTGGCTATCCTTATAAGCAATTAAGATTACTCGAACTCAAGAGCTCTTAAGTAATACACCCAAAAGTTTTTGTCCAATCACTCAATTACCCAAAAATAGTTACATTTAGGTGAAGTTGGTGACCGTTTTTGGAAGGTGTAGCGTCTTGGTAAGATTGATTGAAACCTGATTGAAACCTCCGCGAGATTGGTGATAGTTGATTACAAACAAAAAATACTTATAATACTATCATTTAAGAGTTACATCAGGGTGAAGATGATGACAGGAAATAACTATTCATAAAGCATAAATGGAGCTTCTGCAACACATAAGAGTTTGAACAAGGAATATCAATGATCTTATCGACTACGAAACATTATGATATGCATCACTAGTAATGAAATAAATAGATTAAGCTGTAATGGTGTCCAATGCTATTTGTTCTTTCTGATAAGATTCATAAACCACAGCACCAAAGTTTTTGACATTTTTATATAACCTTGGTCTTTCTTCATTCACCAACTCATCCACAGCTCCGATCTCTTTATCAACCTCTGCTTCACTTACAACCGCCACTGACATCCTCAACTTTTCAGGATTTGTCACCACTCGATGCAGCGGGCTCTTGAATATACCATTACTCATTATCTGCATATTTATGAGTATATATATTCAACAATATTCAGTTGGCATGAAGCTTAATTCAGTTTAATGTGTACAAGATTTATTTTATAAATACCTGCATTTGATCCCCAAGGTTGATGACAAGAGCATCAGGAATTATGGCAACCTTAAACCAATTACCATCAACACGAACTTGAAGACCTTCCACATCTTTATCTTGCAAAAGAATTGTAATCCCTCCTGTATCCGAGTGAGGTTTGACGCCGAGAACCAGATCAGGCCTTGAACAACGTGGATAGAAATTAAACCTTGCTCTGACTGGTGCTCGCTCTCCGACCATCTTCAAGAAGCTGTTCTCTTCCAAATTTAGTGACTTTGCGATTGCCTTGTACAGCGTTTGCTCTACAGATTTTACCTTCTTGGCATATTCATTTAACATCTCCCTAAGGAGCAATTCAATATGAAAAAGTTAAATGTTTGTTATGTTCAGCGGTTATATTTAGAAATGAATATCAGTTACCTGAAATCACTGGGATTTTGTGGCCAATAATGAAGGTTTCTTGTATCTTCTGGAAACACCGAAAGAGAAAGGCGATCAGACCAGTCCAGGACTTGGTTTTCTGAGACTATCATGTTGCTTCCATAGCCTTCAACTTGGTTAGTTGGTCTGGCGTATTTCTTCTTCTCTTCCATTGGAAGCTCAAAGAATTGCTTCCCGAGTTCACGTACCTTGTCAAGAAATGAACTTGAAATCCCATGACCGATTACCTGACACACTCAAAACAATCATATATGCAAAAGATTTATAATCCTGAATCCTATTTAGAATGTTTCCATAGATGATCAATTATATATTCTTTGTAAATGCTTTAAAAAACAAATATAAATAAAGAACCTGGAAGCATCCTGGAGAGATGAGAGCGGATCTCAGCTTTTCAAGCTCATTGTGTACATCAGCCGATGATGAGGGTGGTGAGAAGAGACTGATATCAATGACTGGAAATGGACCATATGGAGGAGAAACATCTATGGAACCAAATATAGATTGCTTATTAAAAACATATGGTGGTGGTGGTGGTTCATCACCATTAATGGCCATTTCTGGAACACTCTTAGACAGTGAAACAATCTCCATTGTTATTGTCACTGGTCACACTGTGATATATCAATTAATGCTATTAAGTAATACAAACTCTGTATGTTTGATATGTAATCTTCTTTAATTGAAAGTTAACTAATCATCTAAAACACCTCAATTTGTATAAAAAGTTAAAATTGATTAATTAAAGACGCCATTTCTTTTAGAGATGGTCATCAACTTGCTCAAAGAATTCGAAGAAATATAGCCAACCCCCTTTTAGACATGAAGTGGAGGAGTCCCACTCTTCATGAACAATCCTAATCCTTATCAACTCAATTAATTCAACAGTATATTTGGAAATTGGAGAGTGACATTCTTGTTTTTATTTACTCTAAATGTAACAAGACAAACCAATATAGGCTTTTGTGTGAAAGATTCCTGACAAGCTGGCATCAATTATTTTCAAAGTGAGCTGTAAAATTTAGATGGGAACTTCATAAACTCAAATTTATTCTTGAGGCTGATTTTGTTGATTGAATTCTAGATTTCATAAGTTTAGTTTACTTGTATTGTAATCAAATTCTTTCATGGCAATAAGTCAATAACCCATCATTCATCTTTGAGAGTTATTTTTAAAGTCTTCAGTTCTAAAGAGATGAGTCAGTCCAGTCGCATATACACATTATAACAACTCATTAAATTAGTGATACAAGATAAATACAACTTTTAACAAATAGAATGGTTGATAATAATTATCAAACGAAGAAATATTAGAAGTCACAATTTCCTTCGTAGAATCGGTCAAAGATGTAGAAGATATTTCTTCATTGAAAACAACATGTTTAGAAATAAAGTATATAATTACCCAGGTTTAGTGATAAATTGGGGTATATCCTGAATATTTTAATATTAATGTTCGGTGTAAATGAGATTAACAAGCGTCAGTGGGATATGGAACCTCAACTGAGAGACATCACAACTAACTGATTAATTAAGTCCGTAAGATCAGTTTATAAATCAAATCTTATTAGTTAAAAAAATTCATTTAGGATTACAGAAAAAGAAGATAGAAGAACCCATAGTTCCATATTCATTCCACGCTTACTCATGATTTACCTGGGATGCTGCAGCAGTGGGATAGCTTCTCCTAAGAGTAGTCCGGCGGTAAGGAGAAATCAAAGGGGCTGTGCCTGACTTAACCCATAGTCTCATGTTTGATTCTCTGCTAAGGCAAAGGTATTACTTTTGTCCATGATTTACTTGGAGAGCCGCAACGGTGGATTGTTGTAGATAGCTTTTCGTGAGGATCAGTGGAGGTGCACGTAAATTGGCCCAAACACCTCAGTTAAAAAAAAAAAANTGGCACTTGTTAACAAAAATAAAATTACAAATTATAAATTCAAAATTACAAACTCCATTACTTTGTAAAGGTAGATTCTCAAAAGTCAAACCAACTTACTTTAAATGTTATGAAATATAAATATAAATGTATTCACATTATTTTTTCTACAAAAGTTTTTATTAACTCCCCTAATCTTTAATTTTATTTTATATTAGTCTCGGTTCCTGGTTCCGGTTCCAAAAATTTGGAACCGGAACCTACCCATTGACGACTGGTTCTGGGTAGGAACCGAAACCAAACCCAGGGTACCCGCCGGTTCCGGTTCCAACCGGTTCTTTTGAACACCCCTACAACTAACTGATTAATTAAGTCCGTAGGATCAGTTTATAAATCAAGTCATTCTTATTAGTTAAAAAAATTCATTTAGGATTCTAGAAAAAGAGGATAGAAGAACCCATAGTTCCATATTCGATTCCACGCTTACTCATGTTTGATTCCCTGTTGAGGCAAAGATATTACTTTTGCCTGTGATTTACTTTCGTGAAAATCAATGAAGGTGCATGTAAATTGGTCTAAACACTTAGTTAACAAAAAAAAAAAAAAAAAAAATATATATATATATATATAATTATGAATTTTTTTTTCATAAATTAGGGCAAGTAATAAATTGTCTTCATAAACATAATCATCTAGAATCATAAAAGACTTCACACTATTCATCAATTCAAGGTGATTGTCCTTCCGGCAAAATTAATATGAAGCTGTGCCAAAAAGAGGACAATCCTGAGACAAACAAAATACATATTCAAGATAAAGTTACACAAAATAGATAAAAACATTTCTCCAAACTACTTTTTCTTCTAAAACCTTCATCCACCTCGGTACCTGAAGCTAGTAAGAGCACTGTCACAATGTCAAAACTAAATGGTCAGAATATCATCAAGCAATTCAATATTCGTCTATACCTCAAATCCCCTGAGAAACAAATTTAGCCGTGTACGCAATTTCATTTTACAGAGATTGCAAGAGAGAATATATATAGTTCATATGATTTAGACACAGGAAGTGGACCCCAAGGGGTTGGCCTCTCTTCATTGAGTTGTTGAATTCAAATATTGAGATCACCCACCACAATAATATTATGGTTTATTTGATCTTTTAAGTTTATCCGGGTGTTCAATGGACTTTGAGGATTAGTTGAGATGCGCATAAGCTGATCTAGACACCAGGGTTTAAAAAAAAAAAGGACACAGGAAGTGCTAGATCAGATTCATTTCCAAAAGAAATTTTGGCAAACTGGAAGAAAAAACACTTACTTTAGGAAAACTGAGTCCGTTGGACTGCTAATTCAACCAATCCGGTCGATGAAAGAAAGTGCAGGAATAGTTTGGGACATCAAAACCTTCTCTCAAGTGAAAAGTTCCAACACTGGGAAGATTATCAATAAGGAAAGACGAATCAAACTAGATGTAATGGATTGTATTTCCTTCATATCCAGAGAAATCGTCATCCGAAGTAGAGAATGAATGATCCCCACTGAGAAAGAGCATTTTATTCTCACACTCCTTCGTCACAGCAACCCACTCAAGATTATCTTGATCTAGCTTATAAACGTAGAACTCATTCAGCTGAAGTGTTTCCTTACCCCTAAAAGTACCATATCCCCGGAAAGTACCAATCATAAACAAATTCTCCAATGACTTTATCAAATATTGTGCAGGCCTCATAGCTTGATTTTTCACTGCTCCCGCAACTCCAGTAATCGTCAAAGAGATAGGCTCAACAGTTACCGTAATACCCGAGGTCAACACAAGATAGAATTTGCCACTATCATAAACAATATCCATAACTTTTCCACAAGGAATGTCTAAAAATGTCCATTTTTTGTCCAAGTTTCTCCATACAAGTATAGTTCCATCAAAGTGCAATGCCATAATCGAAAACTCAGTGTCAGACTCATCATTGCACGTGGAAGCAGCTACTTTTCTGAAAAAAATCAAGCAAGGGCTTATCTTCAACGGGAGAAACTAGTTCCAGATGGTAGGCTTTATCGATTTCCTTGACATGATAATCAAGCAGGTTCAGAGATTCTGGTAAGTTATGGGACGACGAGTAGAGTTGCAGACGAGTTTCAAAGAGCGGGTTTTGCAGTCGGACTTTGCCTGAGGGAGACTTCTGGGCTCTAACCAACAAAGTTTGGTTGGTTTCGTGTGTAAGAGTTAAGGACTTGAATGCATAAACCGTGGAGCTGGTGAATTCAAAGTGCCCACCACTGTGACGATGTTTTTCGAAGGGAAAAGGAATGTTAAGGTCTGAGCGTGGAGGAGAGAGACGTTTGGGAGCTCGGATAGAAAATTTAAACGTATTGCAGATCGACGGCGCAAAAGCGAAGAGTATTGCCGAGTGAGTCAAGGCGGTTTGCTATAGAGATGAGTAGATCTTTGGTGAGAGTAGACCAATCTGGGCTAGTGGTGTCCATGATTGACTTAAGCTTACAAGAAGAATTGGAGGAAGAAGAAGAAGCCATGTGTAAGACCCTTACAAAGGGCAAGGGCAGGCGTGTGGCTTTCATCCTTAGCCACAGCCTCGCCAAGACAACACACGGGTGTGTGCTGAACAAGGATGACTGAGATCAGGCGCGGGGTGTTTGAGTGTTGGGATGCCAAACACTTTACTGATGAAATGGCTTGCGGGTGTGGGCACTTGCAAGTTGTAACATGTGCGTGTGGGCATGTTTTAACATGGGCGTGTGTGCTCATGAGCAGGCTGGACAGTGGCACAGGAGCTGGGACGTGTGCAAGCATGCAAGACAACTAGTGGGTGGCTAAGTTCATGCATGAGATAGAAAGCTACGTGCGTGAGGTGCATGTGAGTGTGCACTAGATGATGGAAACAATCAGACAAGGCTGCATGGTTGCTGGACCAAGGCTCAGTTAGGCGTGTCCAGGTTCATTTGTATGTAAAGCAACTGTCATGTAACTGCTGATAAGAATGTAAAACTGTTATGTAACTGCTGTGCCATTTATATATAAGGCTGGCAGATGTCATATTCGTGATATAGAGAGTGAGAGGGCAAGGGTTATGTGTTTGTAAGCCTTGTTGTAACTTGAGTGCGAATTTGTGAGTGAGGATCAGATTGTAAACAGTGGGGAAACGCTGTGTGTGTGCTTGAGTTGTCCTTGTATTCGGAAATATAATATAAGGTTGGGAATTTCCCGCATATGTTGTGCATTGACTCTCTTTAGCCTCTGTTGTATTGTGTTTGTGATTTGTAACAGGGGGAACGCACAACTTGAGGTAGGCTTACAAGTGCCTGGTGTGCTTGTGCCGCGCAGTGCCTAGAGGCGAAAAATAGGCCCTGTGACAGTGGTATCAGAGCCCGGTTTTAACCAGGTTCGTTCTTGTATTTACTTACTATTGTTTCATGCCAAAAAAGGTTGACATGGATGCTGTGAGGGAACGATTGACGCGGTTAGAGGAGATGCTGGGTGAAATTCAAGATGGCGAGGGCATGATTGTCAATGAGAGACTTGATCAGGTTGATCAAAGTTTCGAAATTCTCCATAAGCAATTTATGGAAATGGTGGACCAAACCAACAGGAGATTGGAGGCCATAGAGGATGACAATGCCTTGCTGAAACATGCAATCCCTCATAGTCTTGATGGGGGAAGTACTGCCAAGATAAGAGTGCCTGAACCAAAGGCTTTTTAGGGTGCTAGAAACGCCAAGGAGTTGGAAAATTTCTTGTGGGATATGGAGCAGTACTTTGAGACAGCGAAAGTCCCTGATGTGGAGAAAGTTTCGATCACTAGCATGTATTTGGCTGATGATGCAAAATTGTGGTGGCGCACAAGACTGGTAGATGATGTGAGTGCGGGTAGACCCAAG